TTCCTTGCCCATGTTTAACCTGAAGCAATGAGACTTTGTGGGGTCCGGAGTTGATGTTGAGGACTCCCAGGGCAACGCCCTCCCGGCTGTATACCATTATGCCATCGCCTCTGCCATTTCAGTCCTGCCGGTGGGATGGGATATATCCAGGGATGGTGATGGTGGTATGTGGGACATTATCTGTAAGGTATGGTTCCATGAGTGTGACTGTCAGGCCGTTGCTGGACTAGTCTGTGAGACAGCTCTCCCAATTTTGGCACTAGCCCCCAAATGTTAGTAAGGAGAACTCTGCAGGGCCGACAGGGATATTTCTGCTATTGTCTTTTCCGGTGCCTCAGTCAATGCCAGGTGATCTGTCTGGTTTCATTTCTTTGAGACTTTGTAGCAATTGGTACAACTGAGTGGCTTGCTAGGCCATTTCAGAGGGTAACTAAGAGTCAACCACAGCTCCAGGTTCAAATATGTTATTTTGATGACAAACATTATGTTTGGAATTGCAGCATTACATCATTTGTTGCTGTAATACCCTGAAACTCACTAACAAAAGGACCTGAGTGTAAATATGCAAAAATAATTAAAGGTAGCAGAATTGGGCAAGGGAACAGTCAATAAAGGGTTTATTAATAACAGGTGTGAGTAATGTACAAGTGGTGCTTTTAGACTGTCAATGAGTTTGTTTGGGACCCAGAAAAGAGTGTTTTGGGATTAATGGAATTATATTTCTACCGCTCGTTTCAAAATCTTAAATCTTGTGTGAATAGTTCAGTCAATTCAATTTTACCTTCACTTTTACCTAAACTTTAGTTTGTTAAAAGCCCTTTCCTGCATTTTCCCTGTAACTTAATTCCCCTACTGTACCCCTATTGATCAAGAATCTGTCTATCTCAGCCTTAAATAAACATGAGGACTTTGCCCCCACAGCTCTCTGTGGCAAGGAGTTTAAAGACTCTCAACCCTCTGAGTGAAGAAATTCTTCTTCAGCAGCCCTCATGATAGGATTCTTGCACAAAGGAAACCAAAGGAGATGACAAAGATGACCTTGAGGGTAAGGCAGTGGATGTTGTCTACATGGACTTTATTCAAGCATTTGACAAGCTACTTCATGGTAGGCTCGTCCAGAAGGTTAAATCTCATGGAATCCATGGTGAACTGACAAGTTAGATGCAAAATTGGCTTGTCTATAGAAGACAGAGGGTAGTTGTGGACAGGTATTTTTCTGACTGGAGATCTGTGACCAGTGGTGTTCCACAAGGATTATTGCTGGCGCCTATTGTTTGTAACATAGATAAATAATTTGGATAAAAAAGTTGATTAATAAGTTTGCAGATGACATGAAAATTGGAATTGTGGATATTGAGAAAGGATATCAAAGGATGCAGCAGGATATAGATCAGCTAGGAAGTTGGGCAGAGAAATGGCAGATGGAGTTCAATCCGGACAAGTGTGAAATGATGTATTTTGGGAGATCAAATGCAAGAGGAAAGTATACAGTAAATGGCAGGACTCTTAGGAGTATTGATATACAGAGGGATCTTGGGGTGAAAGTCCATAGCTGCTTGAAAGAGGAAACACAAGTGGATAAGGTGGTTTAAGAAGGTATAGGGCCTGCTTACGTTCATTGGTCAGGGCATTAAAAGGCAAGTCGTATTGGAACTGTATCAGACTTTGGTCAGGCCACATTTGGAGTAGAATTAGAATATCCTTTATTGTCATGTGTACTCAAGGACGGGAATACAGGAGTATGGTGAAAACTTTACATTGTCACCCCACATGGCGCCATCTTAGGTACAGATCTCGAATACAAAATTGAAAAATAAAGGGAAAAAGAAAAAAGTTACATTACTTACAGTTAGCCATAGTATAAGTTAAAAAGATAAGCATTACAGCCTTTTCTATAAAGGGCTTCCACTAATCATTGACCGCCCGCACCGGACCCCAGTCCAACAAGCGTCCTGCTCTGCTCAGACCTCCAGCCCATTGGCCGTCCCTGCTCTGCTCAAGGCCCCTGGCTGTCCCCACTCGGGCCTCCAGCCCACTCTGCTCCATGCCTCAAGCCTGCTCCGTCTCAGGGGAAAACACCAAAAAGGGTAAAAGAAAAATGAAAATGGGAAATAAACAGAAGGAGCGGAGGAGCTCTGGTTGGAGCATCCTACTCTGCCGCCATCGTGACCGAAGGTACTGTGCACAGTTCTGGTTACCACACTACAGGATGGATGTGGAAGCTTCGGAGAGGGTGCAGAAGCGATTTATCAGGATGTTGCCTGGATTGGAGTGTATTTGTTATAAGGAAAGATTGGACAACTTGGATTATTTGTGCTACAGCATCGGAGGCTGAGAGGCAACCTGATAGACGTATATAAAATTATGAGAGGCATGGATAGTCTGAGTCTTTTTCCCAGGGTGGAAACATCAAAAACTAGGGGATGTAGTTTAAAGGAGATGTACGAGGAAAGTTATTTTATTCAGAGGATGGCAGGTACCTGGAATGCACTGCTAGGGGAGGTGGTAGAAGCAGAAACATTAGCAAAGTTTAAGGGCCATTTAGACAGGCACGTGAACAAGCAGAGAACAGAGTGAAACCAACCGTGCACAGGCAGATGGGACTAGTTTAGAATAACATCCTGGTCCGCACAGACATGAAATGCCAAAGGGCCTGTTCCTGTGCTGTATGTTCTGTGTTCAAATCTGTAACACTATGTGCTTATGTTTCACTAAGAGAATATTTTGTTAAGATCTAAACAAAGAAAATATTATCTGTTGTTCCAGATTTTGTCTAGTGACGACATCAACAACTTCCTCTGGCAGTTCATTCCACACATGACCCATCTTCTGCATGATAGTTACCCCTCAAGGCCTTTTTAAATCTTGCCCCTTTCACCTTAACCTATGCCTTCTAGTTTTGGCCTTCCCTTGACCCTAGGAGAAAAAGCTTGGCTATTCACCTAATCCAGGCCCCTCTTGATTTCATAACCATCTAGAAGATCACCCCTCAGCCTCTGATGCTCCAGGGAAAATAAGCCCACCCTACTCAGTTCTCCCTATAGCTCAAAGTCTCCAACTCCGGCAACATCCTTTTAAATCTTTGCTCGACCCTGTCAAGTTTAAAAACCTCCTTCCTATAAGTAACCTCACTGATGTCCTGTACAGCCGCAAATGACATCCCAACTCCTATACTCCAATGCACTGACCAATGCAGATAAGCATACCAAATGCCGTCTTCACCACCCTGTCTACCTGCGAATCCACTTTCAAAGAACTATGTATCTGCACCACTAGGTCTCTTTGTTCAGCAACACTCCCCAGGGCATTACAATTAACTGTATAAGTCCTGCCCTGGTTTGCCTTACCAAAATGCAACACCTCACATTTATCTAAATAATACTCCATCTGCCACTCCATGGCCCATCTGATCAATGTTCCATAGTAGTCTGAGATAATCTTCTTCTTCACTGTCCACTACACCACCTATTTTGGTATCATCTGCAAAATTACTAACCATGCCTCCTATACTCTCCTCCTATACTCATGTAGGTGGGAGTTTCTAGCTGTTGTTGTAGAGAGAATAGACAGATTATCCACCATCTCATGCATGTTAGTGAGATTCTTGCTGTCACAAATTGACCACCATGTTTTCCACTTAAACAGTGACCACACTTTTAAGGTACTTCATCAGCTGCAAAATGCTTGCTTGGTCCATTGAGAGTGTGAAACCGCAGTGCACATGGGAGTCTTCTAACAATGACTGGTTTCCAAAAGAAATTAATTATCTGAAATATTTCAGGGAAGAGAAAACATGATTAGTGTTAAAGTTGTTTTTTAAAGTCTAAAATGCTTGCCTATTAGAAAATAGGTCCAATTATTGAGCCTGCTTGCACCAAAATGTTGGTGGAACCTGGATTTTTATAAAGATGGTTTTGTTCTCATTCTTGTGACCCCAAAACTATGGTGCTGACTGCAGGTAAGGAATATTCACCTTTTGGTGCCGTTCCTCCTCCAAGTTGAAACTGGAGTTTCACCTAGCCGTCATGCTGATTGGTCAACAGCAACCTGCAATGTTCAATATTTGACTAGTTTGTGTATTGGATTTAAAATTTAGCTGCATGGAAGTGAGGTCATTTTTCCTCAACCTTAGCTATAGCATTTGCAATGCAACATCCCGAGAGATGCTGTGACCAGTAACAATGGCACCATGACCTGTATTACTAGTGCCATAACCAATATTACTAATGCATTGACTAATATTAATAGCTACATTTACTGGTGCCAAGTCCAGTTTTACTTATGGAATATTGGTCTCAAATACCAAAGTATAATAGATTTCTCCTGGTGTCAGTACTACTGTTTGTGCTGTCCGCTAGATCTAAATAATCGTTGATCAACTCGTGGCTGAACCTGGAAATATAGAACAAATGCCTTTTAACAATCTTAAAGTTACTGTTTTCGTAACCTTTACTACGGATGAGTTTTTGCAGAATTCAGCAGTTTGGTCAAATTTCACATTTACACATAATATTGAGGTTATAAACCCAACGAACTTTAAGATTCACTTAATTACCAGTTCATCTCATATGAATACCTCTTTTCTTTTAGATGAGTTAAAGTTGAAATCAAACGTTTTAAAAATTACAATATTGAAAATAAAAGACAGCTAATTTCAGAAAATTGCGTGCGCAGAATCTTCAGTGCAGACTTCGTCATAATTTATCTTTACCTTGGGGTTTCGTCGCACTCTACTCCGACAAAATTAAGTTTTCATTTGTGAAAATTAGGAAGATGAATAATTTATGTTCTGAGGAAGGGTCACCGGATCCGAAACGTTAACTCTTTTTTTTTCCCTTCACAGATGCTACCAGACTTGCTGAGCTTTTCCAGCAACTTTGTTTTTTGTTCCTGATTTACAGCATCCGCAGTTCTTTCGGTTTTTAATTTATGTTTTTAATTTATGTTTTTAATTGTTCTCCTGTTCCAATCAGGCGCTGAACGAGATAGCCTTGGACTCACCACGTTCGAGAGAGGACCCCGTCCTTCTGACGTTGTCGGCGCGACGGACATGGCGCTGATCCGCGGAGCGCGAGGTTTTTCCGTCGTCCGCGCGCTGTCTCGAGCCCGGCACCAGAGCAACGGCCGGGGTGAGGGAGGGAGTGAGTGGTGGTGGGTGGGTAGAGAGAGAGCACCAGCCGGGGTGAGGGGTGTCAAGGGGAGAATGAGGAGGTATGGTAGGATTGGGGACTACTGAGGGGCACAATAGAAGGGACATGGGCAAAAACAAAGTTGCTGGAAAGGCTCAGCAGGTCTGGCAGCATCTGTGAAGGAGAAAACAGAGTTAACGTTTCAGGTCCGGTGACCCTTCTTCAGAACCCAGAAGGGATATGGGGATGGATATGATGGAAGGGCACAGCAATGTGGAGATAGTGCAAGGGCGTAGGAGGTGAGGGTAGTGGGAGCACAGTTGGATAGTGAGGGGGCACAGTGTTGCAGATAGTGATAAATCATGGCTTGGGGATGGTGGTGGCACTGGGGTTGAATTAAGAAGGTAAATTAGAATATAGCACAGTACACGCCCTTCGGCCCACGATGTTGTGCCAACCTATTATCCTACAATCCTAAGATGAATCTACCCTGCATACCCTACATTTTATTATCCTCCATGTGCCTATCCAAGAGTAGCTTAAATTAAGTCTCAAGTATCTGACTCCACTACCACTGCCGGCAGCGCATTCCACACACCCACCACTGAAATTGTGGAGAGGATTGCAAGGACCAGTAAGAGAAGGGGGAAATGGAGATAGAATGACATTGATAACATTAATTATTTGATCTGAGCTTTGTGTATTTTTAATAGTTTGAATGGGATGATGACGATTAACAGTAAAGTATCATCATTCATCTTTAATCTTGTTGCATCTTGTAATCTTGACTGAGGAACTGAGCAATCAGACTTGGTGAAGGGAGGGGAAATCAGAATTGATCTTTCAGTGAGAGAGGAATATAACTGAGATTATTCGGTAAATACACATTCTTTATTTGTTAACATTGCTTGTTATTATTGTAGAGTGTGAAATTTCCAAGCTCCAGTATTCGGTCTTTTTGAATCGCAATCAATACACAATTGCCCCCACTAGTTCCCGCTGCTGGCGCCTTTACAGCACGCAGACAGCACAGAGTCCGGAGGAAGAGTCATTGCATAATATCATCTCTAACTCTGAGACTGTGAAAGGTAAGTGGGGCAGACGGCACCTCAGAGTTACAAAATATATCAGCTTGCCTTTTTAGTTTATGAAGTAATTTCACACTGATACAGTGAAAAGAGGCCACTTGGCACCTGGCTGCTTCTTTGGTTGTGCTACCAATTAGTCCCATTTCTCTTCTCTTTCCCTATAGCCCTGTAAACTTTTATCCTCTAATTATCCAAGTAAGTCAATTAATCATTGCATTGGTGCAATAGTTCTTCAGTGTAGTGTCCAACCTTCTTCAGTTGCTTCTTCAAATAAACTTTCCTTCATCATACCATCAGAAGTGAGGATGTGCAACCATCAGGGAACAGTGTTCATCATTCACAACTCCTTGAAGCAGTATGTGTCACTGTGCAGCAAGACTTACTTCAGACTTCAGGAAAGTGGCAAGTAACATTTAAAGCAGGCAATGACCATCTCCAACAAGAGATATTCTAAACATTTTCTCATGGCATTCAATGGAATTAAGCTCACTATATTTCCCAGTATCAACATCCATTGAGCAGAAGCCGAACTGTATCAGTTATGTAAATATTGTGACTAAGAACAAGTAAGAGTCTGGGAATTCTGTGGCGAGTTACTCACCTGCCCACCATCTACAAGGTACAAATGAGGGGTGTGATGGAATACTCGCCACGTACTGGGACAAGTGCATCGCCAGCAACACTCAAGAAGCTTGACAAAGGTGCCCATTTGATTGGCACCTCATCCACCAACTTAAAACTCAGTTCCTCTCTCACTGTGGCGCATGGTGGTAGTAGTGTGCCCCATGTACATGTTATACTTCAGCAACCCACCCCAAACCACTTTGTACCTGTACCTCTTGGAAGGACAAGGGTAGAAGACACATGGGATCACAAACACCTACAAAGCTCCATTCCATCCTGACTTGGAAGTATGCCAACACTTCAATGATGCTGGATTAAAGTCCTGTGATTCCCTTCCCAGCAGCGCTGTGGGAGTTCTTACACCAGATGGATTACAGCTTTTCAAGCAGGTGACTCATCTTTACCACCTTAAGGCCAATTAGGAATGGGAAACAAAGGTGGCTTTGCCAGTGATGCCTACATCCCATTATAGAGAAAAAAAATCTGTCTTAGTTATTGTTATTTAATTTATTTCCTCTACCCTTTGAAGCAGTTCCATCCAGTTATTGTAGGTAACTGAAATAACAACTTCACTGCAATAATTGTAAATCACTGCATTTAAAAATTTTTTATTTTCCCTGTCTAGGCTGTTTCTCAACGATCTTAAATCAGACAGATTTTGTGTCCTCTGGTTACTAATCTTGTTAAAGTAACAACACTTCTTAAAACCTTCATCATTTTAAACATCTTTGTTAAATCTCTCCTAAACTTCTTTGCTGTAAGGAGAGCAAATCAGCTTCTCAGGTCTTTTTGTTTGTAATCCATTTGCTGCTGCATCTCTTGAGCGTTATCCTTTTTCTTCCCCCAACCCCTCTCCCCTCCCCAGGTTCTTTTTCCAAATATGAGTTTCAGGCAGAAACAAAGAAGCTTCTGGATATTGTTGCCCGGTCCTTGTACTCTGAAAAGGAGGTAAGAAATGAAAAATCTGACTTGCTTCCTAAGATTTACAAAAAAAATCAATAATGAACAGTGCCTGACTGGTTTCGTTATTGTAATTTTAGATTGTCCTGGATCTCAGAGAATTCCCTTAGCACGATTCCTTTTTTTATCCTATTACTGTCCCCTGATTTCTTGTAGGTATTTATTCGTGAGCTGATATCCAATGGAAGTGATGCCCTTGAAAAGCTACGTCATAAACTGGTGAGCAGTGCCCAGGACCATACACCACTGGAACTTCATCTACAGAGTGATACAGAGAAGGGTACCTTAACCATCCAGGTAAGGACAGCCTGGGGGGAGGTATTGGCCTAGTGGTATTATCGCTGAACTGTTAAATCAGAGACCAGACAACGTTCTGGGGACCCGGGTTCGAATCCCGCCACGGCAGATGGTGGAATTTGATTTCAATTAAAAAAATCTGGAATTAAGAGTCTAACAATGACTGTGAATCCATTGCCAATTGATGGAAAAATCCATCTGGTTCACTAATACCCTTTAGGGAAGGAAACTGCCATTCTTAACTGGTCTGGCCTACATGTGACTCCAGACCCACATCAGTGTGGTTGACTTTTATCTGCCCTCTGGGTAATTAGGGATGGGCAATAAATGCTGCCTAGCCAGCAAAGCCCTAATCCTGTGAATGAATAAAGAAAAAAAAATTCTCTTACTTTTGTAATGCTCCAGTTGTACCGATCCTTGGTAAGAACCCATCTGGTGTCTACTTGGGCACTCAATCTTGAGAAATGTTTAATACAATAGCAATTTACTGTGGATTCTGGAAATCTAAATTAGAAACAAAAATTGCTGAGAATATTCAGTAAGTTTTGCAGTATCTGAAGAGAGAAACACAGGTTTTAAGTTCTGACAACCTATTCTAATGAATGATATTGTATCAAAATGTTAACACTGTTTTTTCCTCTGTGTAGATGCTGCCAGACCTTCTGAACGCACTGAATATTTTCCATTTATACTTAATGAGATGTTATGCCTGGAGAGTGAATCTGCAAAGATTCACCAATACTATACTTGGGCTGAAAGAATTAAATTATCAGGCCAGGCTATATAAGCTTGTTCTATACTTTTTTCTTTTTAGAATGTTGAGGAGTGATCTAATCGAAGGATTTAGATACTGAAACCGATGAACAGTGTCAGTATGTAGAAACTGTTTCGTCTGATTGGGAATAACACTACAGCACCCAGTCTTTCAAGATAGATTTTGTATAACGCAGTTCCTAATACAGACTAATACTGAGATGAGCAATTCTGGCCCCGAACCTCTGGTTTTAATGTGCTGTTATTGTATTTTGTCCCCTCACAGGACACTGGCATAGGGATGACCAGGGAGGAACTAACTGAGAATCTTGGAACCATCGCACGTTCTGGATCCAAGGTTGGAAAATTCTAGAATTTGTTTATTCATTTTCTTTATCTTTTCTCAAGCCATGGGTCATCTCCTACCTCCGCTCCAATGTCTTCACCTTCTGTTTCTATACTACCTAGTATTGGCAGCAATCATCCTGGGCTGATCCCTGCAATCGTAACTAGTGGAGGCTTGCAAGCCTGGTGATGAGCTGTATTGGCTTTTCAATCATGGGTGTTCACACTCTGGCCTAGTCCTGCCTCACTGGTGTGTTTTGAAAAGGATAGTGACTAGGAGTAGGTATCCAGGCTTCCTCTACACAACTATCCCCACGTAACGCACCCCACAACATTAAAGGCAGTATAGCACCTCTGCCTGTATTGAAAGCAGCTGCATGGCTGAACATATTGAATCTGAGACCTTTCAAGCTATGACTGAGCTTTTAAGTGTCGTTTTGTCAGCTGTCTAACGATGGACCGATGGGGTTTTCTTCAGTCTGTGATGCTTCTTTTCATTGGAATTGAATATATTTTGCACAATGTTTTATGTTGTATATTTGAAAGGAGCAGAAGGGGAGGTCAGAGGTAACACAATGTGGAGCTGAAGGAACACAGCAGGCCAGGCAGCACCAGAGAAGCAGGAAAGTTGATGTTTCGCGTCGGGACCCTTCTTCAGAAATTTCTGAAGTTTCTGAAGAAGGGTCCCGACGCGAAACATCAACTTTCATGCTCCTCTGATACTGCCTGGCCTGCTGTGTTCCTGCAGCTCCACACTGTGTTACTTCTGACTCCAGCATTTGCAGTTCTTACTATCTCCAAAGGGGAGGTCAGACAGTGATGTGTGATGATCTAGCATGTGCTGACTAAAAGGGCAGTGCTTTGATATTAACTTTGTAAGGGAAGTATGGATAGCTAATTGAGAAGGAGCAATTTTTAAGGGTATGGGGAAAGACCAAGGGAGTTGGGACGAATTGAGTAAGCTCTTGCAAAGAACTAACACAGGCAGACACAATGGGTCTCCTTTTATGCTGTATCATTTTGTAAGTTGTGCATATTGTAACCAATTGCTCACCTTGTTTGTTTGAGTCCAGGTATGAAGGTTTGAATGTACTCGATTGACTTCCTCAAATGTTGCCTTAACAGATTCTCTTTTCATTCTTGATTTTAGGCTTTCTTGGAGGCCTTGCAGAACCAAGCAGAGGCTAGCACTGGGATCATCGGACAGTTTGGGGTTGGATTCTACTCTGTGTTCATGGTGGCTGATAAAGTGGAGGTGTACACACAGGCAGCAGAGAATGACAGCACAGCATATAAATGGGCTTCTGATGGGTGAGGAAACTGCACCCTCTAATGTTAACAGTTTATAGAAAGGGCCGTCCTCAACTTGTGAAGAACCTGGCGATGTGGGGGGCTGAATAACCTTAATTTGTTCACAGGATGTGAAGCTTGCTGACAATACCAGCATTTATTGCCCATTCCTAATTGGACTTAATATGGTGGTGGTATGCCACTGCCATGAACCACCACAGTCTGTAGTGTAGGTACACCCACCCACCGTACAAGATTTGTAGTGTAATTGGGGGGGGAATGGGAGTCTGCAGGAAAGGAGCTCTGGTGTGAGGGCTGTGTGGGGATGTGGGAGGGGCATGGGTTGTCTCTAAGGGCCGCATCGGGATTTTGGGAATAGAATGAGTCTGCATTCAAAAGTTTTGATGACGGGGGCAGAGGTGGGAGAGTTTTGTGAGGGCTTGGTGGAGTGGTGCATGAATAAAGTATTTTACAGACTCATACTGAAGCTGTTTTGCTGATTGGACAACTATTTGTACCTCCAGCTCTGGGATGTATGAAATTGCTGAAGCCACTGGGGTGAAGCCAGGAACCAAGATTGTTATTCACTTGAAGAAAGATTGCCAAGAGTTTGCAAGTGAAGATCGGGTTAGAGGTGAGAAGTAAAAAAATACTACAGTAGGTTAAGCACAGAAACCAAAGGTGCTATGTGCAGAATCCAACTTGGTGCAATTTCTGTACTATTTGTTGCCATTTCTTTCTTCCTATTACTCTGCGTTCTTTGATTAAATTTACGCAAAACTTCACAGACTCTGAGATAGTCAAGAGGTGATTGAATGGAGAATTTCAGAATGATGAGAGGTTTTGTGGTGTGTTAATAACAAAAGGCCATCAATTTAAAATAATTTATAGAGGATCTTAAGAGTTTTTGGAATTTGGAATAATGGGCTTGTAAAGATGGTGGAAACCAAACCCATAAATAATTTGGAAATGGATTTGAACAAGTTCCTGAGGATGTCAAACTTGCATTGTTGTAGATAAAAACCAGAGATTTGGGATTATACATGAGAGTTCTTTCAAAGAGGCACAGGCAGGAAGAATTGAATGACTTTCTGTGCTTTAAAGTTTTGATGATATTCTGTCATGGACTATTGCATTCCAGTGTGATCCTGTCAGAGATAGCAC